TTGAAGGAATAGCTGACAGGAAGGCGACTACTCTAGTACCCATTATAAAGCGACTTGTGAAACCGGGATCAATTGTACATACCGACGAGTGGAAAGGCTATGACTCATTGTCATCCCTGGGATACATTCATCATCACTAGAGTGAACCACTCCAGTGATTTCGTGGACCCAGTTACAGGGACTCAAACAAATCCCATTGAAGAATTTTGGTGTCGATTGAAAGATAGAATAAGGGCTATAAATGGATCGCAAAAGGATCTCATTTATAATCATTTAGATGAACATATGTATAGAATGTGGTGCGACTTCTCTATTGACAGTGCCATGATGAATTGGGTAATGCTTCTCTCCCATGTTCGATAAACATACCCATTGTAACCGTTTTATCATTTTTTGTGCATTTTTCTATAAATATACGTTTCCGCTTATCATAAACGTCTCCTTCATGACTCGTTCAAGGTCGTTTGCTGATTGGTTGTTATTGGTGTCGAAAGTTTAACTTCGCCGGTTTTTTTGAACGTTTTGCTTGTTTTGGAGTATGTAGGTCAGATTTTTGTCACTGGATGCTAACATGACGTTTATTTTTAGCCTGCAGTTCCCAGTTTTTATGTTGGTAGTTAAGGATTATGGTAAATCTGCAATCATTGAGCCAATTCACGTATACTCTGCTAATATAGTAACATTCCTCAGTAATTAAACGTCTTAACTGTTCTGCCATTGTTGGATCAAACAGTGGCAGAACAGTTACGGATTATTTGCTTAAGGTGGAACTGTGCGCTGGTTTATCATCATGACTGGCACCAATTCTGCACCTCGTTCTTATTCTACGCACTTTCAGAAGTAGCTTATCAGCCTTATTGCAGCACTTCTAGTCCAGGTTCTGCTCCTTCCAAGCTTACCATAATGCTGAATTAAATCTCACTAATTCTGAAATAATTCCAACGTTCTATAGTAAGTAAATTCTGGATCTTTTCTTAAATAGACTCTTTAACGTCACAGTCGAGAACTCAGTTCTGGTTTTCAGCATGACTGACAGTAATTCAACACCGTGTTCTTTTTCTAGACATTTTCAGGAGTACATCAGAACCTACTAGTTTTGCTTAGCAGCTTTATTTAAGCCCTTTCAGCTCATTTTCAGTACGGACTAGCTTTACTTCAGAACAAAAAGACAATTTAGCACATAATGGTAATTTTTTGATCTTAAATTTGGAAATTATATTTGGAAACTGTAGTACAATGTCACTGCAAATCTGTCAAGTTAGGTCCACTGGTAGCACCCTGTAAATAAGCAAAGTAAAATATCAGTTGATGAAAAATTGTGCTCATCTCATTCTCAGCATTTGCATTTAGAAAAGTTTGCTTACATAACTGCCACTGTTATGTCCCCTGCTATCTTTTCCATTTGCCTAGAAATAAAAACAATGATGTGATTACTACATGTTGTCTTAACGTTAACCTATAAAACGAAGCGGGCGTTTAACAGTATTACCTGAATTCCTTTCTTCAGGTTACGCCTTTGGACACGATCTTTCAAATTATGAATGTACGATTTCGTGGCCTAATCCATTATGTCACCAACCTCTCGATGTCATCAGTTGGTCGCTACAGAAATAAGTACTTCATTAATGAACCTTACATCTCGTGACTGAATTTCGAACATCTGAATATTTCTAAATTCCTTGATTTAAATGGTGTATTAAAATCATCACTAAAATCACAGTAGGGTCGAAAGCGTATCCTATCTTCACTTTCCATTTCAACTATATTCCCCCGGTTTACCTGAGGCTAAGATTACATTGTCCGGAGAATAAGAAGTAAATATGACGTTCAGATAAGTTAACTTTCCTTTGCTAAACTTAACGCCTTTAGTACTAGCTTCTTTAGGTACATGCTTGACACCTGTACTTTTCATTAGGTGCACGTGCTCAACATAACGCTGAGCTGCCTGCTTAGCCACAACATATCCACAATGCACGAACTGTCTGATCATGAGCATATAGGATTCAAAGGGAAATGCACTGAATCCCTCTAATAGCCCATGCAGCTCGACGTCATCAACTGTACGTTTCAGAAAATGAATATTGTAAACAATATGTTCATCTCCGAAACAGTTCTCATATTGCAGTAAGAAATTACTCACATCTGTCCGAACAGCATCCAAAAACAGTCGGCTGTATTTGGTACTCGAAAGTAAGTATACTGCCAGGGAAAATTTCCTATAATTATAGTACAGGGGGGGGGAGGCAGAATGTTCCTGAGTAGGCGAGACCCAAATATAGTAGCTTTTTAGAACGACCAGGGTTATTTCAGTACATACTGGGTTCACTTCAAGTAGATAAAATATTCATTTACCGTAAAAAGGCATTATTGACGCGTTGGTTAGACTTTGCTGAGAATTGTTGCAAGGTTGGTCTTTTAAGCGTCCCAAGCTTACTAAACTATACCTCCAAAAGTGCATTCATACCTCACAAACTTATATTCCATAGGGCCAGATGGGTCTTTCTTACCTGAATCAAGCCGTTAGGATGTGTTGGATTCCTTTCAAAGAAATAATGAACAATTTAGTTGTTACCTTCATAAATGTATCAAAAGCTTGCTTAAGTTGCACCCACGTATAAAATACACAACTAAGCATTATTCTTTGGAATATAGCCATTACATCAGACAATATAGATGACACATTTCGTGAAGTAGAGGCTGCAGGAGTATCTTGTAACGTCATGTAATGGTTTTAACAATGACTAACGAACACAACATTATAATTTCAAGTAGATGAATAATAGTATATATTTCAGTGCTCATAAACCACTGTTGTGACCTAGTAAATTTAATTGATTTATGCTGACCTAATATGCACAAATCCCACAGGTCACTAAACTAACAACTTAAAAAAGTGGATCAGTTAATACGTACATTTATCTATATGTTCTAATTAAAGACACATTATATGTTTAGAAATTGTAGTTGAATTATATTCGCCTAGTAAGCAAAAATGCATACATCCTATTTTGGGCTTAAAATAAATGCATCAAAATTATTGTTAATTTATATTCACTTGCTAGACATTCTCATACATCTTAATGTACTTTAAATACCACAAATGCATCCAAATAGCGTGTGACTATCACACTACACTCACACCAAAAAAATTAACACGCCGTTATATTATGGTAAGTTAAGCCTGACATTAAACTGACTGTAAATTTCCGTGTCAAAATAAAGAGACTGCCATTTTAACTTATATTTTAGACCAATAAGAAGCCAGCTAGCCAACAGCCAATCAAAATCTGCCTATATCGCTTTTCTTGGACTTAGGCTTGCTTCGAAAGGAGAGGGAGGTATCATGACCTTAAAAAGCTATATTAGGTCAATTGATGGATTTGTCCATCGTTGTGCTATATGCTCCAAGCGTGTTAGCATTAGAGAGGGTAAGTTGATAATTTTAATATTTCGTAGGAACTTTTTTTGCAATGTCGCACCTCTCCTTGACGCAAATTTTATATATCTGCAACTACTGGGTATTAAAACAGCCAGTGAGAGCAGCAGCTGCGGAGACGGAGAACAGCCTCGTCTCAACAGTTCAATGGTACCAGTATTGCAGAGATATTGAATCCTGGAAAATCGAGAAGATCACTTCGTTGTTGGGTGGAGAAGACGTTATCATGCACTTGGATGAAACTGTGATGCTGAAAAAGAAATACAACCGTGGTCGCCAGCGAGCGAATAATATCTGGGTGATAGGTTTATACGATACTTCCTTACGAAAGGGATTCGTTGAAAGAATAGGAGATAGAAAGGCGACAACGTTAATACCTATTATAACGAGACTCGTCAAACGGGGTTCAATTATACACACGGACGAGTGGAAAGGTTATAATTCGCATTTATAGTCATTTAGATGAATATATATATACATATATATACAGAGTGTGGTGCGACTTTTCTATTGACAGTCCGTTGCTGAATTGGGAAATGTTTCTGTCCCATGTTCGTGAAAGATACCCGTTGTAATTGTTTTATCCTATTTTTTATGCATTTTTCTATAAATATACATTACCACTTATCATAAACGCCTCTTTCTTGTGATTGGTCCGTTCAAGGTCGTTTGCTGATTGGTTGTTACTGGTGTCTAAAGTTTAACTCCGCCGGATTTCATCATGAGCTGACAGCATTTGGAGAACCACTGGAAAACCTGGGAGGACTGGACAGCTGTTTCGTCCTAGTTTGTGACTCTGAGGATATATATATATATATATCACCTGAGGTAATGGTGTAGTCAGTGGTGAAAGTCTGGAGATGTGATCTGTGGTTACTTCACATTTTTCATGATCCTCCTTGATTTTAACTGTGTAATGATATTGGGATATCAGTTTGACGTCTTATTCTTGAGGCTTATGTAAGTTTTAAGTTAAGTGCATGTTGAATTTCAGCTGTGATTGACGAATTCATTAAAACGCTTTGTTTTTAGCTGTGCAGTCTGCAGTTCTCTGTCATCTGAAGTCCCAAAAGTGATAAACAGGCTTCATCACTAAACTTGAATGTACACACATATTTCATTATGTTGTAGTGAAGTTGTGTCTACGCCCTCTACTACTCAATCAAGAAGAGAATAATTAACAGATGAAGCACTAACAAAGCCTTTAATTCTCAATCTAAGATCTGAAATTCTCTACTAATTACCCTCGTGTTTGCTCTGTTCATTTTTCCCGTGATCAGTTCTTTTCATCGGGAAATTAGTATGTACAAACTGGTTATATTGAAACTAATCTTAATTTGTTTTTGATCCTTTTCTATCTGAATTTCCTGTAGCTTCTCTTTCAATGCATGGGAATTAGTCAGCCTAGAATTTGACCAATTTCTAAATAAGCGATGATATTTGTGTTATCTTCGATAATTCACATGTCGAAGTGTTCTAATCTGTCATACTTTTCCCACGCTATCTTCGTTGATTCGCTGACTTCGACATCTATTGGTCTTACCATTTTTCTTCTTTTTTACAGGGAAAGGTTGAAATCACAGAAGAAGGCATTAAATTACTTGAAAAATTGACGAAATCATTGAATTCTGCTAACACAACAAATGGTGGATGCCCCATAGCTGAAAGTCCAATGAAAGAAAACATTTCAACGCCACATGATGGTAAAAGCAATACATCTAAGAAAAGGAAACGTGTAGCTACTCCTTCTCCTGAGAGAGTTAAACAACCCAGTTGAACTTCATTAAAGGGAACGAAGCACAATTGTGAAGGAGATGAACATTCTTCTCAATCTGGTATTACCGTTGGTACTTCTTCGTCAGTGCATATTCCTCCCTTTCATACTGAACAGCCGATAACATCTGTAAAACAACCCACCAGTGTCAGGTTTCTCGATGCTTTTGAATATGGGGAGGAATGGCTTCCTGGCTTGTTGAAACCAACGAACTTGAAGAACTTCATCAGGTGAATTTGTTATTTCGGTTATATATTTCTAGAAATGCTTTTCATGGCTCACCACGCCAGGTTTCTGACCCATATTTAATATAAAGCGGCTTACTTAACAGTGGTGTTAGACAGAATCCGAATTTCGTTCTTTATACTGTGGAGTGCAGCTGATTTCAGAGTTATGAATTCTGCCTTGCCTTTACGATTCTTGTTTTGATATCCTCGTCCATCCTTTCTACTATAGTTGACACGATGCTGCCTAGATAAGTGAAAAAGAGGCCTCTTTCAAATTTCTTCCGTTGACAGTGATTAATGCTTGTTATTATTGTTGTTGGTTATCGGGCATTTTCCTCACTTCCATTTTCTCTGTGCTCACTTGAAGTGTTGTCTCGTGAATCAGAATAGCTCAGTGGTAATGTCTCTGACTGCAGCACTCCACTGAGCGACCTGGCTTGTTGAAGTCTCCCAGAGGGGACGTCTTTAGTTCTTTCAAGATTCCAGATGCGCCTTTCTGGCTGGCGTTAATGCCAACAAGTAGGAAAGCTAGGTCCACACAGAGATTCCTGCCTATTACCTTCAACCATGTAAAAACAACAATTCAAAGTGCGACATAGTAGCTAGCCACCTAGTTTGATGGATGTCGAAGGCTGGATTCATGACGCTAAATACCATCTTGTGTCTAATCGTAATATATTGTGAATGATCTTACGTAATCGAAAGAGCTGACAACTAATTCGTTCATAGTGATGAATAATCATTTGGAAATGCTTATTGATAAAGAACAAGGAGGAACAAATAGACTAAGAATGGCCTCCATGGAGTTTATTATAGAACAAAGTCGTAAGCTGGTGAAAAGTGGGATGGGTATGTAATCAACAGCAATCAGTAAGATGTTTCCTCCACTCATATGACGAGGATGCTGTATCCCCATTGTGACCATGGGCCTTCAAAAGATCAGATTGGAAGAGAGACAGCAATGGCCAAACAAAAACATGGCATCAGTCCATAAAATCTTTCAAAGCTAGTTTGAGATAATGACTTGCCGATCACCATCGCGTACCTCATTAGATCCGTTGACGATACAGTTGGCATATGGATGATTTGAAACAGCCACAAAGAGATGCAAAGTTAACTTTCTGTGAGAAACAACCAATCAAAAGACTCTATTTTCTACTAACAATAATGTACATTAAAATCTATAAATATGTGTTGATTTTCCTTAATAAGCGATCTGTTGCCTGGCCCTTGACTTCTGTTAATTTTTTTTTCAGATGTAAAATAAAATGCAATTTATCTGAAAATAAAAAATCTCCTCACACGTAAAACGTCCCGTCAACTTGGCTGCTGTGAACTTGAAAACGACCACCGTCCAACAGAATCTCTGGCTTCTCCACGTCCGATAACCATTCACGGGCACGAAATGCGGCCAAGTGAGAATAATAAGTTGGCGATGGATACGAGACACTACGCGAACACCTCATGTACGCATAGCATAGGTGGTAGGTGAACAACTGGAGAGCGTCCGATGTCCAGTTACTGTCATCATACAAAACGTGATAATGAGCAGGTTTTGAAGTACCCTGAATCCCTTCTTGTGAGCACAGGTAGAAATCGAATTCCCTGGGATGTGTGATGTCTGTATCAACCACCGTTCCTGGCTCCACGTTTCTCGCCCTAGGCTTGCTCGGTCGAAATCGAATGTGGTGACGCTTCTGCACAACAATATAAGCGATCGCGGGTTCTTCACCAGGACGAATGTCTGCACAAGCTCTCTGAATTGCCGCCAACTCCTCTACCAACACATTCTCGAACTGGCCTTCCGAGACTCCATCACGATAGAATATTATACGCGTTGGGAAACGCCCGTTCGTATTTCGCGAGTAAACCTCAAGCAACTCCTTGACAATAAGACGCATGTCGTCGATTATTTCTCTTGCTCTCTTATTCCCCTTTTCTGTCGTCGCCTGTTGGCGGATCACCACCGCGTACCTCATTAGATCCATTGACGATACAGTTGGCATATGGATGATTTGAAACAGCCACAAAGAGATGCAAGGTTAACTTTCTGTGAGAAACAACCAATCAAAAGACTCTATTTTCTACTAACAATAATGTACATTAAAATCTATAAATATGTGTTGATTTTCCTTAATAAACGATCTGTTGCCTGACCCTTGTCTTCTGTTGTTACAGTAATAATAATCGTAATAATAATAACCGTAAATTCGTTTGCTATTGATTATTTAGCAAAATTTACCCAATAGCATATGATAACTGTGGGACAAATTACACTAGACTAAACCTAAGTTCTGCGACACTCAGTGAGTAATGAAAAGTCTTTCAATGTATATATGTGTAAAATTTGAATTGAGAATGAGGTCAACGCATTTTAAGACAACTGATGCGATAACGGTCTCTTAGGCTGTAAGCGCTTCCCCTAATTTCCAAATCATTTAAGGCGGAGAAATTTGCGAAACCTTCTCCATTCTCATTTATTTCACCGCATGCCACGATTGTTAGTGGCTGTCTGTTTTCGACATAGAACTTTGGACATATGTGCGGCAGTTCAAGTCGCCACACTCCATGTAGCACACAAAGCAAGAGAAGAAATTAGGAGAAATGCATAATAAAGACAGTAAACAGAGGTGTGAGACAAAGGTATAGTATAATGAAGAACACAACAGTTTCATTGGAAATCATAAGTCACAAGGAGTGGATGCATCTGCGCCATTGAGAACGATTTTGAGGCATGTCACCAATTGTTTCCAACCATTGGTTTTTACCATCCCGAGGACCCCAACCAGGAAGTCTACACCTTCCTACGTGGCTCAGACTAACTGTTGTGGAATTCATTGACTGGTGCCATGTTTCAGTTTGACTGCCGCTAGCTCTTTTCCAGCCTGACCCTATATCAGCTAAAATTGCCCGTCGAGGAAGGCGATGACTAGGCATACGTAGCACATGTCCTAGCCATCTCAGTCGATGTAGCTACTTCACAGCCTAGTCAACTGATTTCCCCTCCTTACCTAGCACTCGACGCCTAACCTCAATATTGCTCACCTTATTATACCACTTCACACGGGAGATGGAACGCAGACACCTATGATCAAAGACAGCTAATCTTTTCATGTCCTCCGCTCTCAATGGCCAGGTCTCACAGCCATAAAGGAGGACGAAGCGGAATGCTGAGCAGTACACACACCCTATGGTCGAGAGTCTAGAATCTGTCGGAGGGTGAAGATATGATCGATACACCCGCTTCCTGGCCTAAAGCCTGGCTGGTTTTCTCGTGTTTGTGCCTCCCGAGCACCATTTAGTCTACGCATGATTATTGAGCCTAGGACTTTAGATACTATATTAGTCAAGCTAATCCCTCTGTGATTATCACAGGAAGAATAGTCTCCCTTCTTGTATATCGGGATAATCAGTGACTTACACCAACCCGATGGGACTTCCTCTGATTCCCAGACGCTGCCTAGAACCTCAGTTAATGCAGACAGTAAACTGTCTCCACCGTACTTAAATACCTCTGGAGTTATTCCATCAGGTCCCGCTGCTTTGTCTTGCTTCAGATTAGTGACAGCTTAAGTAACCTCAGTTAAGGTCGGAGGACCTGTGCCTATATCCCATTCAGGGAGGTGTTGAATGTTTGGCAGGTTAAGTGTGGCTGTAGGCCAATCAAACTGCTCTTCATAGTGTTCTTTCCAGCGCTCCAGTCGTTTATCCTGGGAGCTAATTATGGTGCCATTTTTCTCCGAGATTGTTTCGCTTATCATTTGCCTTTTGCCACCTGTTTCCCTGATAAGCCTGAATAGTTGTCTGGTGTTCCAATCGCCGATGCCTTTTCCATCTCTTTCGCTTTTGTCACCCACCACTGTTCACGGTCGTTGCAATGACTTTTTGTTAGTTTTCGTTTAAGTACCTTTCGCTCCTCATCATAATCGGAGCTCGCTGGAATCAGTCTCCTTGCGTCAGTCAGTTCAGATGAGGCGGTAGAGATCCAATGGCTTTTATTAACTTTAGGTTTTAGCTTATTAAAGGCTTTCACAGCTGTGTCTACAGCTAACTGTATGTTGTGCTAGGCCGCCTCGGGGGGGGGAGTCCTGCTGTCGATCTCAGAAACTCGTTTCGCTATTTCTTCCTTAAATAAGGACTCAGTGTCTCGATCTAGGGTTAGTGGCTGAAATTATCAGTGGTCTATCCCGGTTTGACTCAGCTAATTGTTGAATGTCTTTGAGACCATTTGAATACTGTCTGGCTAGCTGACTCCTTGGTAAAAATTTTAAATATGCAGCTTACACACAGTTCTAGGTGAGAGTTCGCTACATATATTCCTTTAGAAACCCAGCATACCTTTTAATTAGGTTCAAGGTGAAGAAAACTTAAGGAAATTCTTGAAAGATCTTCAAACTAAGTGAACACTCTCAGGTTTGAATTCCACTCCAGCTACTTCTGACGTGATATAGTACTGGAGTGCACCGACTATTGGTTTTAAGATCGAAAGTAAGGTGTTCAAATGTGTGGACCATCCTTTCACCCACTTATTTGAGAAGTCGCATCACCCTATATCGGCTGTCTGATTGTTGATGAAATTTGAGGATGGATGTGAAAGTTTTGTGTGGCTTTGGTGTGGGACCAAAACATGCCACCAATTGAAGAAGTCTCTAATTGCTGGTTTCAACTGCATATGGAGGAGGGCGCAAACACTGTCGAGGTGTGCTCCTAGAAAGGTTTAGAATCAACTGCTGGAGAAAATTGAGATGCATCGAGCATACACGCAGAAGAGACAGGTGGGTATCATCACACGAGTCTGAATTGAAGACAGGAGTGTAAGACAAGACTGCCTACTATCACCGATAACACTCTTGATAATAGTGAACTACTGGGTCACACAACAAAGCGTCAGTGTGTAGCAAGAAGACGGATATTTGTTGGGCTGAAAAAGACTCTCTAGGACTTCTGTCTTTCGAGACTCTTCTGTAACTGATGTCGTACAAACGCGAAGATCTACAGGCGAAAACAAGTTGTCAGAAGAGACAGCGAAGATGACACTCGAAGTGGATATAGAGTTGATGAAAGTACCCATCGACCAACGCTGGCAAAGATGAGGATATCGAGGCCAGGATAAAAAACAGGCAAGACAAACAATTAGTTCTGTGAAACCAGTGTGGAAATCTGCTGCACCCAGCACAAGGAACAAAGTTCGAATTTCTTATACGAATACCAAGTCAGTTAGTACTTCTATATGGCTCAGAGACTTGGTGCGTCGCTTAAAGCATTCCCAGTCGGCAACTGAAGACTTTTATCAACAGCTAACTTCGCTGACTTGACGAGAGGGCTGGAAAGGATAAGTGACAGGGACCTCTGTGGAGGCACCAAACAAGAACCTATCACCCAATAAATCTGCCTAAGGAAATTGAGACGGATTCGCCGCACGCTAAGGAAACCGTTGAGCAACATTACACGCCAGGCAGTAACTAAAGTAGAGCTTGAATTCGAAATGATAAGTCTGGGGTGGCATGCAGCAGATCGTGTGAGAATGACGAGATGAGAGCCTATGGGCAGTCGTGGAGCTAATGAAAGACGACTGCAGAGAATAGGAAAAAATTTGATATACTGCTGATGCACTCTGTCCCACTCCGAACCCTAGGGGATAATACTAATAGTAAATTGGTTTATTTGATTACTGATCTATCTTTCAGTTGCAGAGAAAATATCTCACTAGATACGATGGAGAAGATGAATTTTCAAGAGTTAGTTTGTCTGGGGACGGTTTGATTTTGTTTCGTGGGACTTATCAGCAGTATGTACATGAGGAAACAGTTCCTCGGGATTTATGTAAATCTTTATATAAACTCACAAAAGATGACTTTCTGAATCTCTCTTCTAGTTTTAGATATAAATAGTCAGTAAATTATTATACTTAAAGTAATAGAGAATATGTGTAGCTCAGGTGGATGATTTGCAACTACTAACTGCAAATTATAATACTACTTTATTTTCAACATATATCAAAGAAATACCTATAGTAAAACAACTGTTGAGAGAGATACGTAGGTCGTTCAATCCGTTTTTCATCTAGCGAAGAACATTATCTCTTGATGGCTATGGAAACGCATAAATGCATCGATAAAGAGTTCTGTAACCGAACCTCATATATATTCAACACTGGTCAGTCGACATGCAACTAGAATTCATTCAAAGTTATATTTGCAAAATCAAAAGAAGCCTCCCGGTACAAAAGTTATTCTTCCGTATTTACAGATACGGAAACCCCTGATTGACACGTACACATAGAAGAAACTTCTTCATCTCAATCCGCG